AGCTAATAGTGTGTCAGAATGGTATATGTTTATACTTCTCATCCAAACACAATTAAATTCACTCTATAGGAGACACAGTTTATCAGGAGAGGATTTTTTAAGTAATAACAACTCAGAATAAAACAGGAGTAACAACTTTCTACTTCTTACCTTTTTAATAAATGTAGTGAGTAGAAAGTACAGATAACTAAAAATTCTACTTAAGTACAGTAAAAAGTGTTTGTACTTAGTTACTTTACACCTCTGGGCGTTAACATATTCTTTGTGCCCACGTTCAGCCAGGCTCTGTTGAAGAACAGCAACAGCGCCCCCTCTGGTCACAATATATGATGGTCACAATATCAGTTGTACCACCAGGATGAGCTTGTTGCAAACTGAAGCTGCTCTCACCGTGTTCCTCCCTCCTCCCTCAGTGAAGCCCGACCCCCCATCGAACATTACAGCCAAACAAAAGGACAGGTGTGGGAGGAAGGTAGAGGTCACCTGGAGCTTACCCCTCACCTGGAAGCAGCAGGACAGCTTCTACAAGCTAACGTATGAGATCAGATACAGACATGTGAGGTCAAAGTACCAACAGGTACGTTCAGCTGTACAACCAGGTGATCGCTCCAATCAGATCCTTCACAGTTTCACTGCATGCAGGCTGTGTTCCTGCAGGTGTATGAGGTGGAACAGGTGCGCTCCTACACCATCACCGACGCTCTGCCTGGTGACCAGTACCTGATCCAGCTCCGAGTCAGAGAGGAATACGATGGTCTGTGGAGTGAGTGGAGTCCTCCTGTCTCCACCAGGAGCTGCAGGGGTAAATATGGACCATAGTACCCATACCTGGGTTTTTACTAGTACCTGTACAAAATGCCACGATACTTTGAAACAATACCTATATCCATACAAGGATAGTGGTATTAATACTCCACTGAATGTTTTACAGTTTTACATTTCAGGTGAAGTTTCTCAGTTCCATGTGGAACTAATTTATACCAGTTGAAAGAAAATCTTTGCTTTATGTTATTTATTTTAAAATATTGGAACAGTACATATCATTCT